GTGTGTGTGTGTGTGTGTGTGTGTGTGTGTGTGCATGCATTCTCCCTGCTTAGCTCAAGAGCTGACAGGGGGAAGAAAGCAGCTGTGCATTAAATGACAGCAACAGCAACACGTTTACTTCAGCAAAGGCACATACGTAAAAGAGAAGAATTCCTGAGCAGGCTGAGGATCAAGGCCAATCTAAAACTGAAATGGCTGATTAAAAAAATTACCCTCAAAATGGCAGCCAGCTGGATGCTTGCTACTACGTGTTACGTGGAACTGAGATGTTTCATTTTGTTCTCCAAAACTTCACCTCCATGAAATCCAAGTGAGGAAAGAAAACTCTCTCCTTTTCACTTTTCTTTCATACAGAGCAAATTAGTGCTATTAGTGATGTAAGATTTACAAGCTGGAAGCTATAAAACAGTCTTCCCTTCCCTTCTTGTTTTGTTTAGATTTCATGTTCCTAAACACTTATCTTGAGGAGACCACCACTCAATGGCAAAATTGACTGCAGGCAATCTGTCTACCAACCTGTAACTGCTCCATATGTGTTTGCATGTCTGTGTGTATATGGATATACATATACAAGCACATGTATACATATATATATAAATTTTTGCAAAGATTCTCCCCAAACTCTCTTTTTAAAAAAATAATAAAAATAAAGTGTTCATTTCCATATTATCACTTCGTGGTTATCTTGCCTAGAAGTTGCCCTGAGCAGTGTAGATGCTCACTTTTAAGAACAGAACAATGTCAAAAAGTCTTTGAAGATCCACTCTGAACATTTTTATATTCAAAAATTCACTAAATATTTTAAACATGCCCAGAAACAGCCACGTATTGCTCAAGAATGATCCTTATATTTAATAATGCAGTGCACCTACACTATAAAACTCTTTGTTATAAGGCTACTTTTGATATATGGCTATCCTAATCCCTAGCCACCTGCACTGAAGTCTGTCTAAATACCGGTGTTATGACAACTAGCTATATAGGCTTTGCCATGTGCAGTCTTTATCACTTTAGCATGTGCTTGACTTTAAGCATGTGAGTAATCAACATCAGGGAAACTTAAGCATATTCTGAAGTGCTCTGTTGGACGGTGATGAAATTATTCATGTGCTTAGAGTAAAACACAAGCCAAGACTTCATTAATACTGTTCAATGAATTGCACATGGGTTCTGTAAAAAAGCCTGATTTTAAGGAGCAAGGGATCAAGTATAGTTTTTTACCTTTATGCTGGTTGGCTTCAAGGCTGCTCTAAATACAAACAAATACTACCACTGTGGGTTGAGCCACTTCAGTAGGGCTGAATCCTACCAAGATGCCAGCATATGGGTTCATAAATCTTGATTTTAGTGATAGAAAGGACTACAAAATTAAAGAATGAGAAGACTGGGTAAACCTTAAGGGTTACTCTGGTCAAATTCCTGACCCAAGAGCTGTCCATATCTTTGCATCTGTTTCTATGCATGGTAGATGCTCAATTACCCCACTTCAAAGGCCACCCTCATGGAGAGCCTGCAACCTTTTAAAGTCTATCTTATCCCTCCTCTTCTTTAAAATCATGAAGGCTGCTCAAATGCCTAACCTAAACTTTTCTTCCTTCACTTTAAGATCATAATATTGTGTCCTACCCTACATGGACATCAAAAACACAGGAAACGATTTAGTTTGCACCTTACAGGCCATTTGGGCATCATCCAGCCAGGTGATTTGCAGTTCAACAAGATCAGATCTCTTAGCATGAGCTTCCCCCAGCTTGATTTGGAAATGCCAGCTGAGAAAAATCTATTGTGTATCTGGCTAGTCTGTAGCAGTGGTTGACCATCCTCAGTGTTTAAAATATGGTCCTCTTTTCAATTGAAATTGCTGGGTTCAACTGGCAGACATTCAGTCTTATCTTGTAGATTAAAAATCTCCCCAGCATCTACCTAAGTAGATAATTATAAACAATGAAATTATTGAACACTCATCTTTTCTGAGTATTATCTCAAAAGATGGTTTTTTCACAAATATTAAAACGTGTTTCCTCTATTACTGCATGACAGATTATGCTCCATTCAAAATGTCAAAGTAATAATCAGCTTCTTTTCTATTCTTTTACATGAACAGCACAAAACAAAGTTAAATTTGCATTCTTCCTGACAAATTCTGCCCTGACAGAGGGCACTGAGAGCACACAGGTATGTTTGCTCAACCTCTAAGAGCAGTCTGAGTCTGTGGACATTCACTGCATTGTACCAGGTAGCCTGAAATCCCTGGCTTACCAGCCCTCTACTTTCTAACTTGTATCACTCAGTGAGACACTTGCTCAGTTGGTACAGACTTCCTCAGCTGAATGCTGAGTGCCTTTGCCCTGGAGATAAATTTTCCTCAGACTATCCTCAGTTATTCTGGATACCATCAAACAATAATCAGTGTAAGATAACAACTGTTGAGAATTCATTATTTTCTGCTGGG